CCCTGTAAATACCAAAGCATTTACAAACTTCGGTAGTTCTTTCCTGTTTTTTTGGAAGGAAGCCTGAGCAGCTGGTACGTCTGAAGGTCAGCTGGGTGCAGGGTGGGAGCACCAGTGCTGGGTCCCTCTGTGGCTCTCGTAGCCAGGGCGTACCTGCCTGACCAGGCTGTGCCTGTGTCCTCAGCTGCAGGCACCAGCTGCTCGCTGCTTTCTGAAAAGCTGCTTGGCAGCTGGCGAGCTTTTTCGGTCAGCCGAAGCCTGTGCTGTGCGGGCTCTGCTGCCCAGGCTGAGATGAACAGGACAGGTAAGTCGTGTGCTGCAGCCGCCCTCCCAGCCGCAGCCCCCACGGGGGCCAAGCCAGGTCTGCGTGCTCCTGCAGGTCCCTGTGCGAGGGCTGTTTGGAAAGTTTACATGGTCCCTCCGCTCAGAGGGTGTTAGCAAACCCATCACAAAAAAGAACAGTAATGTCTATATTGTTTTGCCTTTTTTTTTTTTTCCAGATGTGTACAAATCACTTCAGAAAATCTCTGAGTAGGTTTGCATAGGCCTGTTCACCTTTTATTCTGCTGGTTTGCTGCTACGGTTGTTTTAAGAGCTCTGTTTCAGAAGGTTTTCTTTAGAAGAGATGATGCACGTGTCATATCTCCAGCAGTGACAGACTCTGTTAGGTACCGCTCGCTCAGCTGACGCGTGTATAAATTCACCTCTTGAAATTTGAACGTGCTGGCCCGACTGTGTGGATTTAGTTGTAAACAACATTATTGTCCTTCCTGATATAAAGGAGAGCCAACACGGTTTGTGATGCATACAGGAAGCTATTGTAAAATGCTAAAAACCATCCAGACTAAGAATTGATGTGAACTCCTGTTTTGGGGCTTACGCCAGCCTCCAGCTGCCAGGGGATGGAGAAGAGAACTCCTCTGTGCACCCGCGGGCATAGCTGCTCGCAGGGCTGCTCTGCGCTGGCAGGTGTCTGGTGCTGAAAAGTGTCGAATACAGGAACTAGACATGTGGGTGAACGTGGTACCTCATCATCTTCTTGGGAACAAAACCATCTTTCATGGAGAAATGTTGTGAAATGGTGAGATACACAAAAGAACTTGCAGGAAATAACCAGCTTTGTGTTAACACTGCACCCAGTGACCATGCCACTGGCTGCTTGGGTGACATGCGAGTAATAGAGGCTGTGTTGTGAAGTTAAGCTTCGTGATAAAAAATTGTAGAGCCACGAGCTGGTGAGCATTTCGGCTCCTTTGCCGCTGTGGGTCTGTTCCTCCTCACCCCAGGGATACAGTAAATCCTTCTAGCCAGCTCTGCGTTCCCGGTGTTGCAGCTCTGCTGATTGCTGTAACCATGGTGCAGAGCCTCGACTTAGATATAAACACATAGGTAAAAGTTAACCGTTGCTGATGCACTTTTTATCTAGGTTATATCTGATTATTTAATGCTTGCCAAATTATTTAGGAAACAGTAATTATAAACTGGACTGTGTCTTTTAAAAAATCCTTTTGTTGAGTATTTGCCCCTTAGTTCTCCCAGTATAAAAAAAAAAAAAATTGTATATAACATAACTTAAAAACTAAAGTTACTTGAATTTGAATTGTTTTTATCCTCTTATATGTATGAATATAAATGGGTTTATAGGCTGTTCTTCTGCTTAACCTAGCTGGTGTTGGGATAACTGCTCAGTCCCCCTGTGCTGATGAGCATTTTGGTTACTCAGCTGCCTGCACCTGGTTGGAGTTGCGTAGAAACTTTGTTTTGTGTTACGGTTTGTTAAATCTGGCCAGTGTGGTTGTTTCGTTTCTATTCTTATTTTTTAAAGAATCGTCATCTGTCAGGAATCTCTTTGTAGCTTGATGTACCATGGTGTCTTCTTCTAATAAACATTATATTTTCTCATTCCTGTGAGGTTTTTTTTTTAATGGTTCATTTCAGTTTAACTTTACTAAGGGAAAGCAAATGGGCAGGAGCTGCTTTTCACCTTTTTCCCACACTGAGTACAAATGCAATTCCTTTTCCGGAAAAATAGTTTATGGATCTGTGACAATTTTTTCATGCTGTTGTTTGGAGTTTTTTCTTTTACCGAAGGGGGTGCAAAGGAGATCGGAAGGTTCCTCTGCTCTCTCCAATGCGAGGGAGGTTTGGACTCGTCCTGTATTCCCTTGGATACAGCAGACTCTCTGGCCAAATCACACTTTTGGAGTGTAGCTTCCTTTGGCCACAGAGAAAACTCACCCTTGGCCAGAAGTCTGTGGGTACCTGAATGTGACACAGGATGGGCTGGAGGCTGAGCCTGCTTTCACTCACCTGATTGTTTCTGCACTTCCCTTGAGAATGTCGGGTCTCTGCAGCCTGTCCTGGAAAGGGAGCTCGTCTGGATTCGTCTGCAGAATTCTTTTGTGTTCTAGCGTCCTGTTGTTATTCCGCAGTATCAGCCAGGGTCCCTGGAGCTGTCACTTGAACACTCCCGTGCAGACTGAGTATTCAAAAGCCGTCTGTGTTCTCTGTTGCACTAAGAAAGTGCTGGCAGCATCCTGCTCCAGAGCTTTACATCCTGCTCCCAGAGGGGAGCCGTGTCCCAGGGAAGCCCATTCCCAGGCCGGAGAGAAGGGCTGAGGGTGGAGGGTTACTGGCTGAGGGCTGGCAGGTATGCCTGAGTTCGGAGCGTTCCTTAGCTGCTTGTAGCCGGGTAGATGCTTGGATGTTGCATTTCCTTTAAACTCCTGCAGGCAGTGCTACTCTGAAGGGATCCCGTTTTCCCCAGCCTCTTTCTAATCCAGTCTCTTTCTTTTTGTCTTTCTTATGTTTTAGATTCCTAAAGGTGTTTGTGCTGGTGCAAGAACCTCGGGGCGAGCTTGTCACAGAAGGAGAAACAAAATGGTCTGTTTACCCTGCAGGCAGTTAAAACACACCCACGGAAAACCAGACTCCCAGTCTTGTCTGGAGTTCCCACTTGAAAAATTCAGACCTAAATTCATCCCAGTACCATTCAGACGCTTGCTCTTTGTCACGGCATGCTACTTGTGGCTCAGATTAACTCACCAGCCTCTCCCACTCTCCCGCCAGCTTGGCACAGCCCCTCTGTAAAACATAACCAACACTTTCCCCCCACCCAGCTCCTCCCAACACCGGTCAAAGAACCACTGGCTGCCCTTTGCAGAGGGTAACCAGAGTCCCCAAGCATGTCCTGGTCTGTCGTCTGTCCTCTTGTGTCCCTCAGTCCATCTGAATGTCCGCCCTGGTCCATCCGCATTTCACACGGTGCCTCCAGTGCTGATCTGCAGGTCGTCCCGTCGGTGGCGTGGAAGGAGGCACATCCCCGCGGAGAGCCTCCCCGGGAGCAGTGTTACAGGACTGGGCTCTGGATTTGCGGATATTCAATTTGACCCATACGCACTATTCAATATTCTGCTTTCCCCAAAAAGTCACTAATCCTTGTCAGCCTTTTTTTTTTTTTTTTAATCTAGGCTGATGCTCATTCCAAGTATTAAATCCCCATGACCTTGCTGTTTCCTGAAAGGCTTCACGCTCACGTATGTACGCTTGCTTCCCTGCTTCTTCCCTCTGGCCCCTCCTCTTTATCCCCCCTCCTCTCTCTCTCTCACACACAGACACACACACACAGACACACAAACACAGACACTGGCATTTTGGTTTGAAGCCCCATTTTGCTGGTCACAGAGACCTCCGTTTTGCTCTCGTTTCAGTCTGCATGCTCGCCCTGTTGCCTTGCCTGCACCCACCTTCCTGAGGGTCACGTTGTTTTGTGGCTCGTTGTCGTTAATCTCTTTGCAGTTTTCTTTTGTTGGTTTGTTTTCAGCATTTCAGACCTGCCTTCTCCTTTTTTGCATGACCTCTTGTGCGTTCTCATCAGTTCATGTTCGAATAACAGAATTTTTTTAGAAAAAAATAAAAGAGAAAAGAAACTACACTCTATTTCGTTCTCCCGCCTTGTCATGGACTGGACCCTGACCCAGAAGCCAGACAGGATTTGTGACTTATTGACCAGCCATCCTGTTCTCACGCGGTTTTATTTGAAGCAGAAGTAGCGTGATAAGTGATGCTGCACCTTATCGTGCCACGCAGCGGAGAGAGCGCAGGAGTATCTCCAGACACCCATGATCTGGACCTCAACTGCCTACGAAATGTCAATTGTGTCCTGATCGTCTACGTTGTAACTGTTGGTTTCCCCTGAGTCTTTGCCATTGCCAGGATTTCCCAATCATCTTGGACATGTTTGAACCCTGTAAGAGTCAGTTGCTACTTAATAAACTAGCTCCTGATTTACTCCTAGACCAGCACATCATTTGGGGAGATCCACCTCAGCATCTTTTTTAAAATCCCCAGAATTGGAGAAAATTGACGTGGAAACCAATACAGGCTGTGACCCTAGAATGAAAGCCCTCGGGTTTAGTCTGCAGACAGACGTGTGTGTTGTTTTGCTGCTTGCTGGGCTTTTGTGCAGGGGCAGCGTACAGAACCGTGGCCGAGAATCAGATCCTCTCCGTGCTGGGGAGTGCCTGGGCCGTCCCCATGCAGGATGAGGCAATTTCTGAGTAGTTACACGTTGTGTTCCTAACTCTGTCCTTTTCCATTCAAGACACCAACGTTTATTTTTAACAGCACAAAGTCCCTCAGTCCTACAGTCTGTACTGTAGCCGTTGTATTTTGGTGCTCAGCACCACAAGCATCAACCAGCAGAAGGTTAATGGTTTTTAATCGAATTCCAGGGGCTCAGGAGCCTGCCCCGAGCGCAGGCGCTGCCAGTGCTGAGGCTGTTCGGCTGCAGCGTCAGCGGCATCAGAAGGCTCACAGTCTGTTAAACCGCCATCCTCCTCCGTGCTGCTACAGTGGGCGCTTCCCGGGGTAGATCCACGAGCCTCCGAGAGCAGGATGCGACCCGCAGGGTCGGCACTTGTGGCTTTGTCCACAGATCTGTGCCGAGGCTTTGCTGCGCTGCCCGGCCGGCATCCATCTGTCAGGGGATCTGAAGGGTTAAGCGGTTCACAGGTGTGCAAAAACATCTTTAAAATCTTTTTAGCTGCAGTATTTTTATTCTCGTGTCCAATGCACTGTTGAATCAGCAGCTAGAAGAAGTCATTTTCACCTCGTTGTGCCATCTGTGTAAAAATTAGAGAAAAGTTTGCGTTTATGTATTTAATCTAGGTGGACAGTATATTATTGTCAGCCTCTGCGGAACATTTGCAATGTCTGTGTTGCTGAACAGCGCTTTAGAAGGAGCATTAGCTTTAGCTGACTGATTTTCCTCAAAAGTTTTATTAAAAGACTGTGTCTGGAGTTTTTATAAACTTGGCAACTAGTCCCCCAAGCCCGGATCTTAAAACTTACTGCCCAAAAAAAATAGCAACAGTCACGTAGCCTACGAATGTTTATTCCGCTGCCTTCATTCAGGGTAACAAATGGTAATTTTTGTAGAATTTGCCTTTTGCAAAATCTGAAGGACTAAATCTGTGACTGGTTTATAAAAACTCTGCTTGAATTTACTGATCTCGCCCAGAGCGTGGACTGTAC